CTTTCCCTTTCATCCTACTTTCATCTGGATTAACAAGGATTCCTTGATTAGACTTGATTTTAAGTTCACTAAGAATAAATCCTTAACTTTGCATATGTGTTTCCTTTTTCCCTATTTTTGAACATAATAACACCATAGTGTGCGTTTTCAGTAACCAGTTCTTGCAAAACCTGAGGTTGTCGCTCACATAGGACAGCTCCTTGGAAGATATACACAGTCTTCTCCTTGTGAAAGCTGTCCAGAGAACTTCACCTCCTTTAACTGAGGAATAAACCCTCGGAAATTTCAGCTGGCATCTGCCTGGCTACAGAAAGTGTGTAAAATAAATTTTCTCATTTAACAAGTAGTTAAGGCATCAGGAGTTCTGACAAAATTCTGTGAGTCAAGCAAAAGGCCCTTCCAGACACTGTAAGTTTTGATAACACTGGCAGAAAAAAAAGAAGTATTTCAATAAGAATGTGGACTTTGAGTCAGGGGTGCAGTGTATTCCTGAGAGCCTTTTCCCCAACTCTATTCATGCAATGAGAGAGTGGCCTTGCACCAAATGTGCCACTCTATCTCTGGCCCGGGAGAAAACCAGGCATGGCCCTCTGGACCACTGACGTGAACAACCCTCTGCAGCACAGTACAAGGGCATGAGGTCTTTAGGATGAATGTCCTTACATGGAAAAAAAACTAAATCAGCTTTTTCCAGGATGACTTTCAAGCAAGCACTGAGCAATCTTGTGTCCATCTCCGATGCTCAGTGGCTTTCCCTCTCGCATCTTCTCCACTTCCCAAACAGCATGGGTGCCCTGACTGGGAAGAGTGAAGTCAAGAAAGTCAAGTCTGCAGGGCAATGGCTATGTAATTTGCAGAGAGGAGTTGAACCTTTCTTCACTCAGAGAAGTCACTTTGCATGGCAGGGAAATATGTGAACCACTAAGGCTGGAGGTAAGCAGAGGCCCACTGTGAAATGGCTTGAGGATCTAAGACTCCTTTATTCTCTGCCCTTCAGGTGTACAGGAATCCTGCAGGTGCTTGCCTGTGCTCTGAAATCAGCCTCAGCTGCTCAATCTGAGTTGCATCAGGGTGCTTCACATCTGAAATCTTAACGGAGTGGTGATCAGAATTCCCGTGGTGAGATGTTCCCAGCCAACAGCCAAGTTCCCACAGAGCCGCTCACTCCCGCTGCTCTTCTGCAGGACAGCGAGAAAGTAGAGGGAAGGCAAGAAGGCTTGTTCGTCAAGATAATGAGTGTAATAGGTGAAGAAAAACCTGCATGCGGAAGCAAATTAGCAAAAAAAAAGAAAAAGTAATGCATTCATTACTGCCCATTGATGAGCAGATGTTTAGTCACTTCCAGGAAAACAGAGCCTCAGCGTGCATGAAGCTTTCTTGGGAAGATAAATGACATAACTACAAACTTCCCCCTTCTTCCTCCATTCCTTGAGCTTGTCTTGCTCTGTGTGACATTATGACGGTATGGAATATCCCTTTGGTCAGTTCAGGCCTGGTGTCCTAGCTCTGGCTCCTCCCATTTTCTCCTTCAGCCCTAGCCTAAACCACCGGTGGAGCGAGGGGCTGGGAGGTGGCAGAGTGGGAAAAAGAGAGAGCCTTGCTGCTGTGTAAGCAGTGCTCAGCAGCAGCCTAAACCACCCGGTTTCATTCATGAGTCCCAAAGGCAGTACCACACAGCCTGCAATGGGGAACATCAGCTCCAGTCTGGCACAGCACCGTTCCCTGGGCAGGAGAGCATGTGAACAGCACATCCCTGCGGCCTGAAGGTACTGAAACTTTCTGTCACACTCTGACATGGCATCTCAAGTGACCATTGCTTTTCTGCTGTTCTCTAACGTGTCACCATGCTCTCACCCAGGAGGAAATGCAAACAAGACCTTTCAGATGAAAGAGACAAGCTTTGGTCTCTTGGCCAAGCTGAGCGGCACCTTCATGGGTGGAATCCACCCAAGAGTTCTGAGAGAACTGTCAGGGCTGCTCACCAAGCCCGTTTCCATCATTTATCAGCAGTCCTGGCTTACTGGGGATGTAATTCCCAACTCTTCTTGTCTCTCTGATGTTTCCAGTGATGCTCTCCAGGTGGCAGTGCAGAATGCATTTCTCTGGTACCGCATCCGACTGAGGAACTTGTGTTTGGGGAGATTGGGTGTTTTGGTTATTGCAGTCACTGTACGTCTGTATTTTTCCAGACGACTCAGGCAGTCTTCCTTTGCAATTGTTCATTATTATTAATAGGCATGCTAGCATTTTATCATTACAATCTTACACATTGTCCGTTGTCTCATTCTTTCAATTGACTTGTTCCTATTCTTGTTCTTACATTACTTTTGTCATTGCTACTCTTACATCACTTGTGCAATTGCTCCAGTTCATCTGGAAACAAAGCAAACAAATGGCTTGGAACTCCTGTATAACGTCTCTTTTAGTGGCTGCTTTTTCTGGATGTTTCATTTTCAGAGAACACTGAATAAATTAAATGAACAACACCTTCTATTCCAAAAGGAACAAGTCAGCATATTACTAATAGGGAAATGCATGTCTGTTTATTTAAAACGGATGGTTTAAAAGTAAGCAAAGATAGATGGGGCTGTAGGGATGATGGAAAATGAGATTTCCTCTCTGTTTGTGGTGGTGGCTTCTTGGCATGACTTAGCTCGTTTAATTTAATGATTTTACATTCTCCTCTGGAAATGGATGTAAATTTTAGGATACTATGACCATTTTGCATTGGAAAACAGATATTTATTCATATGTGTCTTTTACTATGGGGTCTTTTTAGCTTGAAGTGCACACAATGTTTCAAACATTGCCACAGTATACAATTCTGTGGTTTGGAAATCTTTAATCTTGGTTTCTTTAGCAGGCAGCTTCAACTTTCACAGGCAGGAATACACACACTATGTCATTAGCTTGTAGAGCAAGTTTGGTTTACAAGCTATTTCTAAAATTCACTCCTGCACTCTCTTGAATAACTTTCTGTCCTTTCCCAGTCGTTGTCCTGGTACCTGCAGAGCTAACCACAAAGTCTTTGTTCCTTGTTGCAAAACTCCAATATCAGTGACTCTCTGTCATTTGTAGACTTGACTTTCTTTCATTGGAGATGAAAGTTAGAACATAGAGCTTAGATGACCAGTTACGCAGCACAAACAGGAGTACTGAATCTGATTGTCAAAACTATTTTAAGACTGTGATACAATTTTTTGAGGCGGCAAAGAAGGAACAATTGATGGCAAACTATTTTTTTCCCTAGAACCTCAAAGGGCAACAGACAATGTCTCTCTGTCCTGAAACTGCTGGGAAAGAGGCACTTCTGCTTTGCATACCCTGTGAGTGGAAAGCAGCCTGCAGAACCCGGAAGCCCAGCACGCCAGCCTGGGCTGTGTGACGCACCAGATGGCCAAAGCACCTTTTCCCGACGCATACATACATAATTCATGTTGTTGAAGAGTGATTTTTTTTTTTTTTCAAATGGCAACTTATTTTTGATACTTTTTACTTGGTTTTGAAGACAATTTTTTACCATGGAGTTTATACAAATGGCTCTATGTTCATCAAAGGCCAATGCCAAGAAACTAAGACAGTCCTATGAACAACTGCAACCGAAGGCAGGACAGACAGATTGGTGGTTCTTTGTGCAGTTGGACTGATACCATACTAGGAGCTTCTCCATGGCTGTCCAGCTTCTTGGACTAGATAGGTCAGGCATGCGAATCACACTGTGCATTCTATATTTACTTTTAGAGTGTCTCTGTCACATGGCTATGTGCAGCCATTCTTGTTCAAGGCAAGCAGCCTCAACAAATGCAACACTCTAGGGAATTGCTAAAGGATTCTAATTAAATCTGTAATACAAAAATTTAGAGACATACAAAAGAATGTTTTATCTGTTCCTGGGGACTTCATAGACATAGTAAGTGATTCTATTCTATTTTCTCTGTCTTTTAGAACAGAAAACACTTCTATTATGTGTTTTATCTGAAATTAAGATTAAAAGCTTTTTATCTGTTTTCCTATAACAGCAACATTATTAAAAGTTCAGTGTTTTATTTTAGACTATGTTTTGCCCCAAGGCAATATTTATTCCAAAATTCTACTATGTTTTTTGCCAACATAGAGTAATTTTCAATAGAAGGAATACAGATTTGGTTAGACCATGCAATGTAGTGGAAAACAGGCAAACAAACAACAATAACTTGTTTATTAAATCATAATATTAAGCCGTTGATGAGAAAACAAGTGTCTCACTGCTTCAAGCCTTTGGCATGCTGATTACTAGATTGAAAAATTGAGAAACATTGCTTTTGCAAATAAGATTAATTTGGAAAAATAATGAATGCATATTATGATTGCTTCTGTTTCCTGCAGAGATGGGTATTCTTGCTGTACTTGCTCTACCATTGCTTCTCTTAGGAATCAGTGGAATTATTTATATTTACCAGTCACTCAGGTGGCTATTGTCCAAGTCAGCTGTGCAGAACAAGGTGGTGGTGATCACAGATGCCATCTCTGGACTGGGCAAGGGTGAGTTGTCTTGTTTCTTCTCAATATCGGAGAACAGAAACAGTCAGAGAACCACCCTTTCGGTGACAAAATGTACATACATTAACTTGTATATATTCATAAATATATGAATAAATATATGAAGTTAAGAAATATATTTTAAAATAAATCCTATGGGTTTAAAACGTACATTTTTAGTATCAGCCACAGGAACTACTGGTAAACTTCTAGGAACTGCAGAGTTTTGAATTTATTTAATTCAATAGAACGAGAGGTACTGTAAGCACATTAAGAGAACTATTTTTAGCATGTTGCTACTCTGAGATCTTATTACATAAGCTGTCACTGTAGGGTAGCAGCAATCCAGTAAAAGCAGGTGTCACCTTACTCTTCACATGTTGCTTTCAGCCCTTCAGGATCTCAACATTTCCTGCTCCCTGTAAACAAGAGTGCTCACCGCTCTGTCCCTGTTTGTATCTCTACCCCCTCTGCCACCCTTGGTACTCCTCTACCCTTGACATCCTCCAGCACCTCCAGCGGGCTGGCTGTGTGCAGTGGTGGGTTCAGTGGATGGAAGGAACCGGTCTGTGATAATTTATCTAGTTATATCTACTTATAAGCTGTTTGCCTGGGTGGCCAGCCACTTAGCACATACTTCTTCTTGACTCATATTTCCTGCCAGATCAAAGGTACTGGCTCATCTGTTGCTTATGGATGGTCCTGCTTGAGGCATCACTTGAGGAGCGAGAGATGCAGGTGCCAGATAAGGCAAGCATAGCTTAAGGCTACGTTTTGGTGTTTTCAGTGAAGACTTGTTTTATGTTGGAAACCTTGAACTCCCAGGCAGAAAATAAATGGAGAGAGGGAATACTTGTGCAGAATCATTTCTTAGCAGAACAGAGCAGAGACCTGCAACAAAAATACACACTACACTGACAAGGAGTGCTCTTTATCAGAACCTGTTAGGACAAGGTATGAAATAATTCTGATCTTTACTTCCCACCTTTTCTTCCCCTGACACATTTCAGTTTCAGGTGAAGATAATATTAGCATGCATTTTCTCTGGTTAGTTATATTTCATCATTTTTGTTTGGAGAGGTGTGATTTAGAGTTCTCCAGCTGAGACTGTGTGTCTTGTAGAATCATAGGATGCCTGGAGGGTTCTAGGCAAAAGTCCTACTTGGAAGCAGAAATATCACCAGTGCTAGATCTGCTTGAATGTGGCTTCAGGCTAAATATCGAAAACCTCCAGGATAAAGAACATGTATTGAACATTTTTCCAGGTATCTTGCTCTAGCACTGCATGACCCCTGGGGAAGATTTTCCTAAGTTCAGTTTGCTTATTAATCTTTCTTAATTATTTCTTAATTTCCACCTGTCTTGTGAGGCTACAAAGGCAATTGCCTCTCCTCCTCTACCCTCTTTTTTTCACATGGATGAAAAAGGAGGCAAATCACAACATGTTCATTTTGTTATTCTAATAATATCTACTGCTAGTATCCCATAGGGTGATAACAAAAAGTTATTCACAGGCTTGAACAGCTCCAAATCATGCAGAATTTACTGTGCAGTCTACTAATGCATATGTGATGGCCGTTCATCCAGAGCTTTAAAATAGCAGCTCTCTGTCCAGCTGCTGTGTTTTTGAGTTCTTAGGCAACAGTCAGATTCCTTTTCCCACATGCCAGAACTTCTGGACTAAAGACAACATTCATCAAAGTTAAAAAATAAACAAAAACTATGATGATTGAAGATGTTTGCAATGGTTTATGATTGTTCCTGAAACCTGATTTTTATTCCTTGTCAGTGCTACAACTCAGAAAAGTACAGAATATTTCTAGAGGAGGACATTCTTGGTTTTCTCCTTTCTCCCTCTTACTGCTGTTCACACAGCAGTCACGTTTTAGTCACAAGGTTGCCCCAACTGTTACGTTTATAGGAAAAATACAGGTGTAGGTTTCTTAGTACTGGCAAATAATCTTTTGAGGATTTAAATAAAACCCCCACATCTTTCTGTGCTACAAAAAGGAAAAATGAAAGACATTCATAAAATTACTGTTGTAAATAATGAAAAAAACCCATAAATAGAAGTCTCCAGCTGCACTTGTTTACGAAAATCAAAAAGTGGATCCAGAAGTGCTCTCATAGAGTCTAACACGGGCATTTAAGAAATCTAAGATGGACATGTTAGCATAACTGGATTTGCCTCTAGGTACTGAAATGAAGAAAATGATTTCTGGAGGACAGACAGGTATGTCACTAGGATTATACTGTTGCCCATTCAACAAAGGTCATAGAAGCTAAGATAAATCAAACAGGCTGGAAAGGCATAAGAGTAATTTTAAGACTATATTTCTGTTCTTGCCATGCTGAATACATAACTCATACAGGTTTTATTTAGGGACCAAAGGTTGAGAGATTTTTGGAAGACCTAATCAGGAAAAAAAAAAAGCAGAAGGAAGAATAACTCTTGAGTTCTAATCCTACCAAACCCACTGTAACCAACCCTGCGTAACCCACTGTCAACTCATTGTCAGGCTGCACCCAAACCAGATCCATCATCAGTCACATCCTCAGGCCTACCTGCCCAGAAAGAAAAGGCAGGAAATTCTGTACTTTTGCAGGTATGGAGGAAACCTTAACTGATTCCTGGACTGAGTGCCACAGTTTCAGTTCAGCTGAACTAGAACCTATCAGTTCAGCTGAACTAGAACCTATGGGTAGCAGCCTATAACAGGCAGAGGGATACCATTGACAATGAATTGCTAGAAGATACCCATGAGATATCCATGCTCCGTGTTTTTAAATGCCTTTCTTCAGTCAAACTGACAGAGCGGTGAGGAATATGTAGTCCCTCAATACCACCAAGAGAACAAAATAGACCAGATACACACTGTCAGGATGCTCCAGCCTGGAATTTCATAGAATCATAGAACAATTCAGGTTGGAAAAGACCCTTGGGATCATCAGGTCCAACCATTAACCCTACACTACAAGGTCACCCCTAAACCATATCCCCAACACCACATCTAAGCGACATTTAAACACATCCAGGGATGGCGACTCAACCACCTCCCTAGGCAGTCTGTTCCAGTGTCTGACCACTCTTTGCATGAAGAATTTCTTCCCCATGTCCAGCCTAAACTTGCCCTGTTGCAACTTGCAACCATTCCCCCTGGTTCTGTCCCTAATTCCCTGTGAGAAGAGACCAGCACCAACCTCTCTACAATGTCCTTTCCAGTAATTGTAGAGCATGATGAGATCCCCCCCTCAGCCTCCTCGTTGTCAAATTGAACAGACCCAGCTCCCTCAATCGCTCCTCATAAGGTCTGTTCTCCAGGCCCTTCACCAGATTTGTTGCCCTCTTCTGCACTCGCTCCAACACCTCAATATCTCAATATCTTCATAATCTGGATTGAGTTGATCACATAATCCCATGAATACCAAAACTAATGAGTTGACTGCCCTCTTGACTGCAGCCTGCGTTGAGGTGTGATGATGGGTAACATTGAGTGCTGGTTCCTCTTGTTATGTGAATCCCCACTTTCAGAAAAGTACAGTCATAGTTCACTTGCATAAGAAAGGGAGAAGAATCCTCCCCAGCAAACAAGCTCAAACTTGGGTAAACTCCTAGTTCAGAATATCCCTGAATACATAGAGAAAAAGCAGTGTCAGCCGAGCACGCCCAGAAACTTCTCGGTGGCTGTCTTAGGAAGGCTTCAGGGAATGCAGCTGAGCAAGCGGGAGCTCAAGCTGGTCCCTAGTGCCTCTGCTGACTACTGGGAACGCCTAACGCTCAGGAAATAAAGGTCTTGGGATGGATTACATATGGAGGAAAGGGTCTGTAGAAGAAAGGCCTCTTTTATTGGTGCTCCGTCTGTGGGCCAGTGAGTGGTGAGCTTCTCTGCACTGCTCTTTCTCAAAGTTGTAAATTAGTTTCATGTGGCCAAGAGTTTCATGAAGGGATCATATGGAGATAATTTTACTGTTTCTGGGGTTGTTTGTGTTTTTCTTTGTGCTGCAGTAGATGTGGAAGTCTGCAAAAAGATGCAGTTTGTATTATAACAACCTTAAGTTTGTATTTTTATATATATTTTTCTTTATAGTAAGTGTATCTATATATGGAGAGAATTAAGAAAGTACAATAATGAGAACAATTTTTCTGACTCAAAGCCATCATTCCTTAGCTTGCATGTTGTTCTTTTCTTAATTAAATATTTATTAAAACTCATGACTAAACAGTACCATTGTGTTGTACCATTAATTGTGCATTAGTCCATTACATTAAACTTTATTACTCACATACATGTTACTGCCATTTAATGCTTATTTTTTTCTCATATGTATTTATTCTTTCAAAATTAATATATTTTATAGCATAGTTTCAACATCATTACCAAAAACAGCATCCCATTTTGAGCAAAATAAACAAAATCAAATTGTAATTATTATTATTTCTTTTGACTGTGTTCCTTTCCCAGAATGTTCTCGGGTGTTTCACACAGGAGGAGCAAGGCTTGTGTTGTGTGGCAGGACATGGGAAAAGTTAGAAGCCTTGTATGATGCTTTAATTAGTGTGGCAGACCCCAGTATCGTAAGTATTTCCTTACTCTGCTTTGAGAATACACTGCTTGAAGTAAACACCTTGTTCAGGTATACACAAAGTGCTTTTAACTCCAGTAATACAAGGTAAATAAAACACGATTCACTTTTAATAGTGTTTTAGGTTACCCAGATAAGACACCCAGCACAGTCCAGGGGTAGAGAGAGAGAAAGAGGTCTTCAGAGCACGATGCCAAATTCAAAAGTCAAAAATCCTGCTTTCTTGAGCTAATTCAAGGCAATTACTGCAGAGTAACTGAGTGGTCCTGCATGTTGCACGAGCCACCCAACTAGAAATGCTAGGTGGAGGAATTTGCCTGCTAACTTGGATGAAAAGGGTCCAAAATACATTGTTTAATCACAGAAACTACCATCCGTTTTTCACATAATCAGAGTGCCCAAGGAGTGGGATACAGGCCTAAGGATTAAATTAACTATGACTTTCTCCATTACTGTGGTAGAAGTCCCAGCTAGAAGGAGATGAGAGCGTATGAATCCAGTGTCCTTTCCTCCTCACCACTGACTGGGTCACCATAGAAGCAGGCGTGCAAGGCTGCCCTTGCTGCCAATTCTTTGGAAGGTGTTTCTTTGATGCTCACAGTAAAGCTTTCTTGCTGTGACCAACAGACAGCAGATTCATTTCATGGCACAGATATTCCTGAAGATGTCACACAAATTCTACAACCATTGCTCACCAGATCAACAAATATTTGTGTGTGACCCTTTTTTCACAGTGAGCTTCATTCATCCGCATAAATAACTATCACAGCAGCGTGTTCCTGTTAGTCTGTGCAGACTAAACTAGGAAATTACATCATTGTAGTAATATAGTAAGAGAATTCGTTTCTCTGTCCCATAACTAGTAAAATCTACATCTTTGCAGAAATCGCACAAAGGTAGACTCTATCTGGATAACCTATAGCCAAACAAACTATTCCTACCTTTCAAGTGCTCCCATGTATAAATAAATTATCTAATGAAGAACTCTACCCTACAGTCTGAGGTCAACAAATTTCTGCAGAGGACTTCCTAAAGAAAGACTGTGACCTGGAGCAGTAGGAAATACCCCCAAAGCAGTAGGAGAGCCTGTTTTCTGTCTCCACTAATTGAAAAACAGGCAAAACTCAGTAGGGTAGAGCTAGTCCAGCTTACCCTTCCCATGGTGTTCTGCTTCATCTGAATTTCAGAGTCTATGACTACCCATTGCTGAGCTACCTTCTTTCTAGACTGGGTTAAAAGAAGAAATGTACATTTTTGTGAGACTGATAAAAATACTGTGTTCAGATATCAAGGTAAACTAAGTAAAAAGTAAATAGAAATATATTTTTGCGTAACAGCTGTCTTTGAAATAAGTATTTTCTTTATTAGACGTATGCACCGAAGCTCATACTTCTGGATATCTCAGACATAAACTGCATTCGAGATGTCGCTAAGGAAATCCTGAATTGCTATGGCTGTGTGGATATACTGATCAACAACGCAAGTATGAAGGTGAAAGGAGCAGTGCAGAGCATTTCATTGGAACTTGATAAAAAGATAATGGATGCCAACTACTTTGGACCTATAACATTAACCAAAGGTATTTTATTTTTTTCCTGTTTTGCTATTGCCACTTACAGCATGAGGCCCAAGTCACTGGCATTGCACTCTTTTGTTTGCACTTGTGTTTGCCTTCTTCACTACAATCGAAAGCAACTCTGTGAAAACCAATGAACTGAAGTTCAGGTGAAGAAGATCAAAATCAAAGTGCTTGGATTTGGAAACAGATTGGTATAGAAATATATAAGCAGATGTTTGAAAGATGTTTAAAATGTCTGCTTATTGCATCTTGCATATGGTGAATCCTTTATTTACATGCTCCCTGCCTTTGTTATGAAGATAAATGTTTTTAAAGCCTTTGCAAGGATACAGACAGGCTGGCAATTAAATGCGGTGATACTGCACCCACATCTGCATATAGAATCCAAGGGAAGTCTAGAAGACCCTCAGTGTCCACCTACTGGGTTTTGTGACACTTTTGATTTCAGCACCGAGACCATCTCCATTAAAGCCGTGCTATCTACACCTCAGCTGTCATTTCTTTTCCCCAAGTACATTCAGCTCTTTTACTTACGTGGCTTTTCTTTTTTTTTCCTTTTTTTTCCCCAGCCATTCTTCCCAACATGATCTCAAGAAGAACTGGCCACATTGTTCTAATTAATAGTATCCAAGGCAAAATAGGAATCCCATTTCGTGCAGCTTGTAAGTTATAAATAGCAAAAATGTACAGTCTTATGCATACATTGTGGGTATTCCATGGCCCTGAAAACAGGTTGTTAAAAGTGTTAAATTGTATCCTAATTTGATAAACTATTAATGCAGCATTTGGCTGTGGAACTCAAGAAGTGGAACTCAAGAAGAAACAGTTAAAATACTATGCTTGAAGTGCAACTACTGCCTAAAATACTTGAGGGCAAGAGGTTGTCAAACATGAAAGCAAGTTTTTTTAACGATCTTAGGAGACATTCAGGAAACAGCAAACATATAGGTCTAACATCTGTCCCAGGCATATTAGTAGAAACCGTAATGAAGAATGAAGTAGTGTAAGAAAATAACGTACTGGTAGATATTATCTACTGCTTTGTAAAGGAAAATGTATGCACTTAACGAATTTATGTGCCTGAGTTTAAAAGGAAATGTAATAATTGTACTCTGCTTGGCTTTTTAGAAAATTTTCAAGGAAGCCTTTCTTCCAAATCTCCTAATGAAATGAAACTGTCCTAAATTATGACAAAAGGTCTTTGCATTAATAAAATGCAAAGTTAATGGACAGAAAATACAGGACAGATGTAAATGGACATTGTAACTGTGACAGGGAATTAGAGTGGATGATGGACCCTGAATTTAAAGGTCTGCAAGACTTCAGGATTATGACTTAGAGTTCCATAAAAGCAAAATACAGTGACAGAAACTGTAAGGAAAGCGGTAGAGAAAAATAAATAAATCTTGTCTTTATGCCTTTGTATAAATCCATGCGGTGCCCACATCTTGAAAGTTGTGTGCTGTTTTAGTCCCCCATCTCAGAAGAAATATAGGAACTATAAAATAGGTTCAGAAAAGAAACAGCACGTTGGTGGGACATCTGTAATGGTTGCCATCTAGGAAACAGCCTGTGTCAAGGCTGTGTGTGTACAGGCACACATTGTATGTGTATAACACCGTGAGTAGCAGAAGAGCTAAGAGAGATGGTTTCTACAATGTCTCTACTTGTACTGTGTTGCATGAAATGAAGCTGCTGGAAGAGGTAATGTCCTTAGAATCATCATAGAATGGCCTAATTTGGAAGTGACCTTAGAGATCATCTAATCCAACCTTCCTGTCATGGGCAGGGACGCCTCTCAACTTGATCATGATACTCAAGGCTCCATCCAACTTGGCCTTGAACACCCTCAGGGGAGGGGGCTTGGCCTTGAACAACTCCAGAGAGGGGGCAGCCACAACTTCTCTGGACAGTTTATTCCAAAGTCTTGTCACCCTCGTACTGAAGAATTTCTTCCTAAGATCCAATCCAAATCTATTCTCCTTCAACTTAAACCCTTTTCCCCTTGTCCTATCAGTGGACACTGTTGTAAAAAGTTCCTCCTCAGCCTTCCTGTAGGTTCCTTTCAGGCACTGGAAGGCAGCTGTTGGGTCCCCTCAGAGTCTTCTCTTTTCGAGACTGAACAATCTCAGCTCCCTCAGCCTGTCCTCATAGCAGAGGTGCTTCAGCCTCTGGATCATCCTTGTGGCCTCCTCTGAACTTGTTCCAACAGATCCATGTCCCTCTTACAGTGCGGACACCAGAACTGGACACAGTGTTAGAGGTGGGGTCTCAAAAGAGCAGAGTAAACGGGGAGAACCTCCTCTCTCGACCTGCTGGCCACACTCCTCTTGATACATCCCAGGGTACATCCCATCCTTCTGGGCTGCATGAGCACCCTGCCAGCTCATATTGAGCTTCTCATCTATCAACACCCCCAAGTCCTTCCCTTCAGGGCTACTCTCAACCCACTCTGTGCCCAGTTTGTGTTTGTGCCTGGGATTGGCCCGGCCCAGGTGCAGGACCTTGCATTTTGACTTGTTGAATCTTTTGCAGTTTGCACTGGCCCATTTCTCAAGCCTGTCCAGATCCCTCTGGATGGCATCTCTTCCCTCAAGTGAGTCCAGGGCACCACATAGCTTGATGTCGTCAGCAAACTTGCTGAGGATGCACTCGATGCCGTTGTCTGTGTCACTGACAAAGATGTTGAACAGCCCTGGGCCCAGAACAGACCCCTGAGGAACTCTGCTTGTCACTGGTCTCCACATGGACTTTGAAAGAAGATGGCTGAGAGGGGATCTTATTAATTTTTCAGTGGTGCTCAGCAATAGAACAAGAAATAATGAGTTTAAGTTAGAGCATAGGAAGTTCCACCTCAACATAAGGAGAAACTTCTTGGCTGTGAGGGTGCCGGAGCCCCAGTGCAGGCTTCCCAGAGAGAGTGTGGAGTCTCCTGCTCTGGAGACCTTCAAACCCCACCTGTATATGTTCCTGTGTGGTTGCCCTGGGTGACCCTGCTCTGGCAAGGGGTTGGACTGGATGATCTCTAGAGGTCCCTTCCAACCCCCAATATTCTATGATTCTATGATTCTATTAAACGCATCTTGAATTGCTGCCGCAGGGCAAAGGCCTGATTAGTTTACATAACACAAGTACTCCTGCATTCCGGAAACAGACGTGTATTTCACTGCATTTTGTTGATGTGTCACAAACCATAGCAACAGATGGTATGGAGACGCGTCTCAGGGTCAGCTGTCCTTCCACCAAAGACATTTCTCAAATGGTGGAGGTAAGAGAAGTATTAGTCCTTAATCTAGGACTTAATATTTATGATTGGGAAATCCAAACACATGCTCCTTGACATGTGCAGGGAGACTGACTGCACACCTCTTGCATAATCGTCCTGTATAAAGAGTTTTCCTTTTTTTTTTTTTTTTAATTTGTTGTATAGTAATTTCACTGAGTGAAATAATTCACTGTCCTTTTGCCTTATGATTAATCATTCCATGCTTCATTTTCCAAAACTTCATGTTTTATGGAGATCTATCACTCATCTATATCCCTGCATTCATGTATCCAAACATGCATATCTGTCTTTTCTAATTTCTTTTAGATGCTGCTTCTAAGCATGCTGCTGTAGGCTTTTTTGATTGTCTTAGAGCAGAAATGGAAGAATTTGATATTTCTGTGAGCAGTGTGAATCCAACCTTCATCTGTTCATACCATCGTCAACCAGCACCTGGCAACTGGGAGGCATCTATATGGAAATGTAAGGTTTGATGCATTGACAGAGGCTTTTCCTAGGGAGAAGGAGGGAGCATAGATAAAAGAATGGAAGTGACAGAAACATTGAACGGGTTAGGAGTGTAAAAGTAAAGAGAGACATTGTATGAGCTTGGTGAAAAGAGAAGGAATACAGAAAGAGACAACATTATGTGAAAAAATAAATACACCACGACATGGGGAGTGGAGGAGGAAGATAACAGGAGAGATCCCAAGGGAGAGTTCCACTGCATTCAAGTTACTCTTTCTCCTAGGGACTATGAGGATTCTACTTCAAAATTGCAAAAAGAATTTAGGGATGTACTGATGAGGGGAAGGGAAGGGGTAGAGGATTGAAATTGTGTAGGAATTTAAGTGATTTGACTGATGCAGCAGCTGCATATCTTTTCACCACCGTTCACTCAGATACATCTGTCTATCTGTGTGTTTGTAGCTCTCACTCTTCTCTGTTTGATTCACAGTCTTTTTCAGAAAGGTGGCATATGGTGTGCACCCGGTGGAGGTGGCAGAGGAAGTCTTGCGCACAGTGAGCAGTAAGAAGCAGGAGGTACTCATGGCCAACCCTATCCCAAGAGCAGCAGTTTACATTCGCACCTTCTTCCCTGAGTTGTTTTTTGCCATTGTTGCCTCAGGGATTAGGGAAAAGCTGAAGACAGAGGAGCAAAATTGATTTTGTTCAGTACTTTTCCATGCTTTTGACCTAAAAAACTCTTATGTTTCAAATGTCAATGATTTCTTCTTCTCACTATGGGTGGAATAAAGTAAGAGGCTTTATTAAACATGGGGCACGCAACGTCTTGCTTAGTGGTTCACCACCATTGACAAACAATCATCTGAGGGAATTTACTCTTCCGGATTTAGCGAATATGACACGATGTCATTGTTTGCATTACAACAGCATGGGAAAAACTCTACTAGGAACTCTATCATTGTTATAAGAGAGTGGTTCCCAATTTAAATAGGTAAATCAAAGTTTGGGGACCGGCAGCAATTCATCAAAATAGTCTGTCAGTTCCGATGTGAACTTTCAGGAGGAAAGTGATGGCAAAGCAGAGAGGTGTGGGAGACAGAGGAATAAACATTAGTAGAAAATGGTGTTAGAGCCTGGATCAGAGTGTTTGTCAGATGTGCTTTTTGGAAGTACTTGCAGGATATGCAAATGGTGAGCTCAAATGAGGACTTACCTAGCTCAATATCTCACCATAACAGGACTTAATGCTTAAAATACAGATTATAAGATGGGACAATAACATGGAGAGACTCCCTGTACTATACTTTACTAGGTTCTAGTAATTTGCTACACAGTTTGAAAATAAATCTGTCTCTGCATCTTACGAAACTATCAATTTTCCACACAAATTTTTCAAATTCATACTTCTCCCTCAAACAAACTGGGTTTTGCTGTGGTCTCAGTTCTACTTGTGTCTATACCTTAGCAATGGCCAAGACCTTCACAGCTCCACAAAAACGTAATACGGGATAAATGGGTAATTTCATCAGAAAAGGATTGGAGAATCATAGGACATCACAGCTAAACATGAGTCAACATTATCTTACTTTGTTGTAAAAACAAATGGATTGCATGTTAAGATAAGCTGAATAATCCTTCTGCTCCATTATGCACTTTTTTGATAGCAGCAGAAATTTTTCATTGGTCTTCAACATTGCACTTCAAAACTGTGGAACAGTTTAAGAAACCATAGTGGAAAGCACTGAGTGACAAAGGTAAAATAACACCTGTGATCCAGCAAGAAATTTTATAAGGAGAGATGTCTTGTAATCCACAAAGTAGAAGAAAGTTGTATCTGAACAATTTTCAGATACCTAAAATGTGCCAGGAGGATAGAACTCAACTGTTCTCGGTTTGTGTTGTAGCAGGACAATGCACTAAAACTACTGCGAAGGGGATTTACAAGGAAAGAATTTTCTGCTAAGAATAGTTAAGCACGAAGGATAAATTGCCACAGAAATTTTAGAATGTCTGTCTTTGGAAGCTTTAAAGAAGAGATTAATGAAACATCTGTAAAAAAGCAATGTAGCTTTAGTTTATCCTGCCTAGAGGAAAAGAAGGATTAGGTGACTCTTTAAATGGGTCACAATTTTCTATAATTCTGTGGTTTTTTCTCATATTAAGAACAAGGTTTCTCCACTGATATTTCCAGAGTAACATTTTCTTCCTCTGTGGAAATCTATTTAATTTGAAGTTTCATTTGTCAATCTCTGCCTTGCTGTCTAAATACCTGTGGCTATCTGTTGCATATAAAAATTACTACCATAAAATTATTATTATAATAAAAAGAAGTATTATGAGATGAGTTCATTAAGCGGTATTACCTGTGAGCCTCACACAGCCATCTTTTAATGTATGCAGATTCCTTAAGTATACTAACTTTTAAAAATTAGGACAAAACTAGGGTTGCAGATTTAGTTACAGAAGTCATCGGAGAAACATATTCAACTACAGGCACTTTATTTTTTTTAAGCTTCTCGCACTCCTAAAAGGCAGATGCACTGTTTTAAATTTATGGCTTTTGTGTTCTGGTCAAGGGATTGAGAGTACTAGAGTGAACACCAAACTCTGTAGCAACTGCTTTTTTCATTTGCAGAACTTAAGGTAGCAGTTTCAGAATACTGCCTATGCTGTAATGAATAATGACAAACTTTTATAAAGATAAAAGGGGAAATCTTATTGCTGTCTACAGCTGCCTAGTGGGATGGTGCAGAGAAGATGGAGCCAGACTCTTTCCAGGTGTGCACAGTGGAAGAACAAAAAGGCAATGGACATAAACCAGAACCTGTGAAAGTCTGATCAGATATTAGGAATTATTTTTTCCACAAGATTTGGACAGGTTGCCAGTGAAGTCAGGAAATCTCACTTCTTGAATATATTCAAAACTCAGCTACTTAAGGCTCTGAGCAATATCACCTAACTGGACTGGCTTTGAGAAGAGAGGTTGGACCAGAAAACACCAGAGGTACTCTACAACTTAAATTATTCTACAACTCTGTGCGAGTTTATAGATATAGGTGAGTACTGCAGCTGGCCCTCAGCCAAGATAATTTTAATATTACCCCAGCCAGAGAATGTAATTCCTTCAGTTTTTTCACCAGATGGGAAAATTTAGATCAATACCAAACACTGAAAATGTTGAAAGTTAATGAAACTGCAGACAAGTCAGGCAAAGTAAAAGGTATGATCAAACAACTCCTGCTGCAGTTGCCAGGAGATGGCTTTGGGTACAAATATCTGACTGACATCCTTTAGCAAGTCCCAAAGTCCTCCATGCAATAATGTGTCAGCTGCCAGGACATACTCTACCCCAGTGGCTATTCAGAGATGCCAGTTAGTATTTGGTTGTTTACTTGTTTGTTTTTAAGGTGTTCATGAATGTTTAGACACCGGGAATAGGTTCAATACTGCATTAATAAGGAGAATGTTATGGCAATTGTTTTTTCTAAAGTCTGTACGAATGAAGTGATGATACACAATGACCACAAATCAATCAATTATAAAACTGGTGGATGGCATATCTTATTTCCACAGGCCACTAAATACACGAAGAAATGATGATGTTATTTTTAAATACACAGATGTTTCTATAGGACAGGAGCCAGTAGCTGACTGTAGGAAAACACAATGAGGGAGGAGAGGCACCTGTGCCCATGGGGAGGAGACACACCTGTGCCTATGGGGAGAAGAGAATGGGTCAGCTGACCCACACGGGTTATTCTTTCCCATGTGCTCAGTATAAAAGGGCTGCTACGAATAGTCCTGGCTCAGTGGTTTTGGTGGCTGATATGTTGCAAGGGTTGGTATTATTTGTTTGTCATCCCTCCCTGTGCTGCTGGTGTTCCTGCCACCCTACCGGTTTTTGTGCTCTAGGGGAACATTGTGCACCAAGACAGGTTGCCTTCCCCTGCCTCCACAGGGGAGGCTTCACAGTTTATTTTTGGAGAGGGATTATCAACAGAGCCCTGGCCTTGGGTGCTCCTGTCTGCTGCTGAGTCCAGCCTGGAACTTTTCTGGTAAGAGTCTAGTTGCCACCCTTGAAGGTGTAGGTTCTGTATTCATTTATATATTTTAATATATTCACGTACTTGTATATATATGTGTATAGTTCAATATTTTCATTGTTATCTTTAGTATTATTTTCTATTTCTTTAAGCCTGTTCAAGCTTTTTTCCAGCCTTAAGTCTCTCTCCCTTTTTCACCTGTTATTCTTCCCTGGAAGAGTGGTGGTGGGGATTGCAGAAGATGTCTGTCACCCGGTTGTTGGCTAAAAATGTGAGAGACAGTTGGTGCCCAACATGGGGCATGAGGCATTTGAGATAAGGGTAATAATTGCCTTCCTGCACTGAAAGCCTCTTTCCTCTATTAGCTCTTCTTCCACAGCAAATCCTACCACTAGTTACATGGTGTAACCCTTGAATCATAAGCATAATACACAAGTTTTCCTGGAGAGATTGCACCTTTAATAACAAGCATTATTTAAACCACGTACCCCATGTGGGCTGCATTATTTGCACCTCTGCTCTTCATGAGTGGAAATCCATAATGCTCTGAAATTCTAACATACTCACATACTGTATATAAACAATTAGAGACTGATTGAAAAACAATGCAATGGAGAACCTTTGTCACTGGGTTTTTCTGAACTGAAATGGCCACATCTACTTCTCCAATACTAAAATTTCCTTGAAAAATCCATAGAAATATAATTTCTTTATTAAGAAAAATAATTCTACACAAATGTACGTTTTTATTAATACTATTTCATTCTCGTCTAGCATTATGATCTACAGGTTGCCTTGAGACGTGGTTCAAGTTTACAGAATTGTAATAGTGGCCAGGTGACACAAGCCTTTTATTGGGTGTGCAGGGTCTTCTGTACTGTTGTGAAAAGAGTTCACATACACATTGCAAGCTTTCTCTGGAGCTGTGTGATCAGGAAACTTGTACTTAAGCTTTAAACTCCTTTCCAGCATTTTTCTTTTGTGCTTGAATTCCAAAATAGTTTTTGTATATTTGTTAATAGTGGTGACAGCTGCAGCCATACAGCAAGCGAAGGAAGTCCATGCGAGGCTATAAACAAAAAAAGTTTATGAGAAATTAGCAGAACAATTTCATGTCAAGGTTCTTCAAATTTATTTTTGAAAATACTGCATACATGTAATTATATCGGTGTATCTTTAGAGGAGCATGGTGCGGGAGGAAGAAAGATCCTTGGTTAATAACCATCTCCTTACCTGAACTCCATAGCTGACCTCTACTTATTGGTTATAATATTCACATTTAACACTCCTGTTTATGAAACTCTACCCCTCAATGTCTGTGTTTACTTAAAGCTTAATATCAGAAAGAGGAACTGTAAAAAATATAAGGATGCATAAAAGATTAAAAGGTGCAGTTATTAAGACTACAAATCTCACAGGTGACACCAAGAAGTATGTGTGCCAGTCATCCAAAAGGGTTAAAACCATAAAATAAAGCGCAGTTAAATAACTGGCTAAAGCAGACTCAAAGCACTGAAATGCATTGCTGAGAAGATACCAGTCATGGCTAAAGAGAGAAAAGAACATCAACTCTGAAATACAGTAAGTAAAACTATAAGAAGACAAAACTAAAAAGTTATATAGAGGTACAATTAGCTAAAAATATGTGAAACTTCCAGGCTACTGAGTGGGAGATGCTTGCTGGAGGTGTTAAAGCAGCATGTGAAAACATGGCCACAGTGGAGTGAACTGGAGTTCCCAGTGGAGGACCCTACTCATTGGATCCAGTGATTTGTGTGGTTTTCTTCTCCTCCCAGTGGATAGAAAGAAAGTAGTAGGGTCCTTAGCACCAGTCTGCAATTTTCTCTTCTCCCACAAGAAGGGGGAAGTAATGAAGGAACACTCATTCTCTTTCCACTGACCACTCTTCTTACTGATTTTAGAGTAAAACCAGGCCTAATACCATTCATGAAAAAATGGACAAGCATCCCAGAAAAGAGATCAGAGCCAAATTACTATTGCATGAACAAAAACGTTAATGAATTGGAAGCAGTGAGAGTCAAAGAAGTAAAATGTATCTACATCAGAAAGTAAAAAAGAAGGCACTATCTGAAGATCGTTCATAGCTCCTATGATACCCATTGAGAATATGCAAGTAGCCTATGGATGCTGTCCAGGGTGTTGTCTGCACACTTGGTATTGGACCTTCCCATATCACTTTTTTGTGACAGAGGGGGGATCACTCTTCCCATTTTGATCAAGTGGATGACATATGGGTGCTGGTTCACCTCATCTGTTGGGCAAACAAGATCAGGTGCACAATTTTTCACCATCTGGCTAGTCTCCAGCTTGGGAGCAGTGACCATCTTTCAGTACTCTGAAAGCACTAGAGAAGCATCTTTATTTTTACATATGTAACAATAGCTTCACAAACTGCTGATGCTTGCGAAACAGATGCTTGGAAAGACACAGAGCAATGTACAGGAAGCTTCAAATGAGATTTAAGTTGTTAGGAAGGTGAAAAGTAACAAAACAGAAGAAAAAAAGAAACACCAATTTCACTGCAGAAATCCCTAGTGAGTCTGCCTTGTAAAGATTGCATGCAACTATAAGTTCTCGTTACATAAAGATACGATAAAAGTAGGAAGAGTAAGAAGAATTAGTGACAAAGAGCTGATCTTGGCTGTCAGAGCACATATGAAGGAGACAATCAACTTGAGCTCTGCTCTACTGATCCAAAATATTGGTCCTGATTGACTTCACAGTTGAGTCACTAATGATTTTCAACATCTGAACACTCAAACACTGCTATTGATCAGATTTGATGGATTTTTCAAGACACATCGCTCTAAGAAAAATCCTCTAAACAGTCCTCTTAACAAATTCACTCAATCTCCTCAGAGAATGCATTGCAATTATTTATAGGGCAAAAATAATGTGTTTTCACCTAAACCTGTTTTAAAAAATTTGAACCATGTTGTCTAAAGTGCTTGAGATACAACAACCTGAAGCGTTATGTATGATAAGGAAAAATTCAGTGTAAATGTTTAAATCTGGAATAGTTTTAAATAATTTATGCAAGACAGTTGTTCTGGAATACAAGGATACTAAATCTGTGTCTGATCTGTATGGAGAAGAAACTCTGCTTTGTGTAGAGCAATTGGAGGTCTTAGTACTGTCTAAAGGATGATAAATGCAAAACTCAATTCATACATTCTATGTAATAATCTAATATAACTGAATGTGGAGAAAATCAGCTGGTTGCTGAGCTGTATCCCCAGCAGTGAAACAAGGCAGACTTATTACTTATAAATTAGGTGTATGTTCCTTGAACACAGGGTAAGGTGACTAAAATATAATGGAAGAACTAAATATAAACCAATAGGTACCAATAGGACCAGCCATAATCCCACGTGTGAGGTCTCCAGTCTTCAGGACCAAGATTTACAGTCATCTGAAATACAGTTGTGTACATCATGTGAGCAACCATACCCAGAAGACCTAAAAAATATAAGAACATTTGAAAATGTATAATGAGGACATTCTTTATCAACTTTTTACAGTTGAACTCCGAATAATATTTTGTGAACTATCTAAATTCTGTAAATCACATACTGGAGACTATGATCGAAGTGGTTTTAGGTGTCAGGTATTTGCCAGTGCAATTACTGATACAGTCCTTTGACATCTGTTCTGTAGGCTAGAGGAGTCTAGGGAAGCATTTGTGCATGCAGCTTACAGATTTCAAAAGGCAACGAGTTGATGGGCTCTCATCCCCTGAAAACTTCTTAGTAGATCAACCCTGAGCAGGGATCAGCCGTTACGACAAAAAATTGCTCAACTCCTTGCTGAATGTTTCCCACAATTTTTCCACAGTTCGGTGAAAAGATTTTTTTCAAAGGCATGCAGTCATGTACCCTTTGTCAGTGCCTTAAATGCAGCCAGTTTTATCAAAATTATGTAGGGGAATGAAAAACCAACCAAGAACTTAATGGTCGTTAAAAAGCGCTAGAAGTCTAGATAATGCAAGCTGCATGTGTGACGTAATAAACCTACATACCTATGGTGAGAAACTTTCACACTGTGATTCTTCTTTTAAGTCACAATGTTCTGCACAGGTTAGAACATACATTTTGGGATTTTATTCAGTCTGAGCTGAAGACTGGGGGAGCTGAGAAATTAAGCTTTAATGTGTTTTTTTTTTCAGTTACTAAATACTGTAGCGCAGTTTTTTAATGGTACGTTTTCAATATAGCTAGAACACTGTTTCCTGCTGCTGAATTTTAATTTGCACTCGTCTGCTAGGAATAAGAGCATGTTTGTACAAGAAATTGCAGCTTCATTGCAAATTAGAGCAACTAGATTTGATTTATATCTACAAAGGATTTATATGTAAGTTTAACGTCCAAGACAGATGCTCTTCCATTTTTTAATATTTCAAGAAATTTTACAAGTGGAAGTAATCAGAGTATCAAGGAAAATCTTGCTGCCTGCTGTGTAAGCCTCCTTAATACTGTGCATGCTAAACCCAAAAATAATATTAATAAAAGTGAACATTTATGATTATGGTAAGAGAGAAGGCTGTTAATAGTAGGCAGAACTGCTTCAAGGGTTGCCATAAAACTCTCCACTCTTTCTTTGCAAGTAGACGTGAGAGTGCATTGTGAGATTTGGTGAGCTATGGGAGAAATGGGGCTTTACTGAGCAATTAATAGAACTGGTAATAAGAGAGATTTTTAACTAGTTGAACATCTTTCAGGAAAGTCATCCACCAGAAAGGAGATAGTCCAGTGGGTTCTCAGAGTTTGCAGGCAGCAGTTTTGGAACTGCTTTCTGGACTGTAGGAAGCTGAGATGGCAATCTTCAAATGTAGCAGCTGCGAAGAGGAAGGAATCGCCTCTTTATTGCAAGTGGGTGTCATAGAATCATAGAATGGCCTAGGCTGGAAGGAACCTTAGAGATCATCCAGTCCAACCTCCCTCTTTTGGACAGGGATGCCACCTCTCGACTAGACCAGGCAACACATGGGGACCAAGAGGGAATTGAACTCGTGACCTCGGTGTTGGTCCTTGTTGTCAGCACCACACTCAAACCACTGAGCTAACTGGCCCCTAATAAAAAGAAACGCTGTAAAAAATCACAGCAGCTGGGACTTTAGATTGGACATGAAGAAAATCTTTAGAACAGCATGAACTGGATTGCGTTTCCTAAGAATGGGACCAAACTTTAGTACTGAAGGGGAAACATCCATGTTCTGGGTTTTGTTGGTAGTGTTTTGGGACTTGGAGTTTGCATTAAGATGGTGTTAGGCAAATACCTGGCTAGGTTCAGGAGGGTTCAATTTAACTCCAGGTGGAGTAAAGGGTCCCTGAAAGTTTTGCACTTCCACAAAATTAAGGAAAACAGAAGTCACCATCTGGTATATAAATGGTGTTTGTCAAAGTCCTTGGAGGTTGGGCCCAGTGTCCACATTTAGCACTGCCCTCTAGGAAGGTTGTGTAAAAGCTGGGCTTGAGAAAGACTAGAACATCAATCGTGATCAGAAGTCTTTGACGTGTTTCTCCATCATTTCTTCTGGAGAAGATGGAGAGACATGAAGTTGTATTCAACTATGCAAAGGCTTCTGCAGAAAGGAATAAAAATAATTTCTTCACCATCATCATGGTCAGATGTTTAATAAACTTGATTTCTTTAGCCAATAAAAATGAGATTAGCAAATGAAGTAAATCTATCATTATGTTTAAGAGGAAAAAGTATAATAAAAAACTTTAATTCATTAACAAAGACACAGCAACCACAACTGTATGAACACTAAATCCAGAAACTTTAGGATTAGGATCAAAGCCCAAAATTTTAACAGAGAAAAATAAACTCGAGATTAATTCTTTGCCATCTGCCAGGTGTTTGACTTGAAATTAGATGCCATTCTAAAATATATATATGGAATGTAAACCATTTCAGACTCTAAACAGTCTTGACCACATGAAGCAGTGTGGCATGTGTTCCACAAGAAATTGTAATAAATAAATGGTATGACTGCTTCTGGCTCTAAAATTAATAACTCTGTGAAATATTATTCATGTTACCCATAATTGTTTTACACTGAACTGAGACCTAACTCTGCAGATTGGACTAGGAACCCTCTGTATTTCCTTCCAAACTGAATTTGCTTAAGATCCTACAATTAAATGGCAATGGATTAAGGAGTAATATGCAGAAAATGAAAGGCAATTTTAATGATGATTCTCTAGTAACAAATATTCAATTGCAATTTATTCCTTCTTAAAAATACTAATTTAATTTGGCTATTCCTGATTTTATACTTAGCATGTTGAAAATAAAAAAAAATCAAGTTATTCGGAAGAGTATGTTACACTTTAAATCTTTGACAACCAACTTGACAATGAAATTGAAAATTATAAAATTAAAACACTGAAGTCAAATGGTAAATACTAAAAATAAATTATAAAAATAATCACAATAAGAAATATTTAATGGAAAATCACAGAATTAGAAAGAACATTAGTCCAACGCCCCTGCCAGGGCAGGGTCCCCCAGGGCAGCCACACAGGAACACGTCCAGGCGGGTTTGAAAGTCTCCAGCGCAGGAGACTCCACACCCTCTCTGGGCAGCCTGGGCCAGGGCTCCGGCACCCTCACAGGGAAAAAGCTTTTTCTAATATTTTTCAGACCCTCCTGTGTTCCAGCTTGTATCCATTGCCTTTGTCCTGTCATTGGACATCCCTGAGAAGAGCCTGGCTCCATCCTCTTGACACTCATCTCTTACATATTTATAAGCATTAAGTCATCCCTCAGCCTCCTCTTCTCCAAGC